TTCCATCATTGTGACTTGGGGACACGGAAAGAAGTGATACATGTCCAAGTCAGGATGATGAATGACTTGGAGAGGAATTTCCAAATGATGCTATTCCTAGATATCTGCTATCCTTGTCTTTCTAAATGGAACTGATTGTGAGGGTGGAAGATGTTGTGCATTTTGTAGACAGTACACACTGCTGCTAGTGTTGGTGGTGAAGCGAGTGGGGGCTTGTGGATGTGGTGCTTTGATTTAATTATCACATGCACCAAAGTACAATGAAAAGCTTTGTTTATGAGCAGTGAGGCAGATCATACATCAGCATTATTTGAAGCTAAGGAGTCCCTTCAGCAGTCTAATAACAGCTGGGAAGCTGTTCCTGAACCTGCTCGTGCACGTGTTCAGGCTTCTGTATCTTCTGCCTGACTGAAGAGGTTGCAGGAGATCATCACTGGGGTGCGATGGGTCTTTGATGATGTTGGCAGCCTTTCCATGGCAGCAAGCCGTGTAAATTGAGTCCATAGATGGAATGTTGGCTTCCACAATCGTCTAGGCTGTGCACACCACCTTCTGTAGTTCCTTAAAGGTCCTGGGCAGAGCAGTTGTAATACCAGGTTATTATGCAACTGGACAATATGCTTTCAGTGGTGCATCTGTAGAAGTTAGTGAGGGTCCTGACAGACATGCCAAAGTTCCTGAGCCACCTGAGGAAGAAGAGGCATTGTTCTGCCTTCTGCCATCTACGTGTTTGTTAATGGAGTCCTGTGTTGAGAACTAGCCTTCCATAAATTCCTTTGCGTGTCCCTTTTCTCAATACACACAGACAGCGAGGGCGATGAATTCGACTGCAACAAAATGACTATACTGGGACAAGCAAACAACAGACATGCAAGTTCTAATCTGGAGTAGGCTGATTTTAATATTCTGATTTTCATGTTGTCAACATGGGACTTCATTAACAAACATAGAAATAGACCCCGTCTACAGACCACTGCTGAAGAACAGAACCAGAAACGGTAAGACTCATCACACCAGAGCATCATATAAATTCAGAACGGAGTAGAACACCAACACTTCGATTAGAGGTCGCACTGATGATGTCACCTAGAATGGTAACGAAACATTTGCACACCACAGAACAACCACATCCACAACCTGAGCTACAAATTTTCGCTAAGACCTTAAAAATATATCTGATCTTATTAAAATCAGCCTACTCCAGATTAGAACTTTGATTTCAGTCCCATCCTTTTCCATAACAATCTTGAAATTAATGCAGCGTGATTGCTGAATGCAATCCCTCTGGCTTGCAACACCTGCTTATCTCAAACCACCACCACCACCGCCTGCACGCCCCTCCCACGCCACCCATGTACAACATACAACTTCAGGACACTGCAAAGTGCATGAAAGTGAATCGTTTTCTAATGAATGTAATGAAATCTAATTTCTTTGTCCCCACAACCTTGTGTGGTAGAGAATTTCACAAGTGCACCACCTTCAGTGAAAAAAATTTCTCATTACCTCATTCCAAAATGGCCTATCCCTTATGCTTGAACCCCCAGCCATGGGAAATATGAACCCTGCATCAATCTGTGCAGCCTTGTCAGAATTTTATATGTTTCAATGAGGACCCTTCTCATTCTCCTAAAATCCAGTGAATACAGACCCAGTTGACCTAACCTGTCCTTACACAACAAGTCTGCCATCTTTAGAATTCATTTGGTGAATTGTCTCTGCAGTCTCTCATACATATTATGGAGACCAAAACTATGCACAGTACTCCAGGTGTGGTCTCGCCAAGTTCTTCTGTCATTACCCTTGTACTGAAATCCTTTTGCGCTAAAGGACAACATGTGATATGCATTGCCAAACATTTGCTGCAACTGCTTGCTTACTTTCATTGACTCGTATCTAATATAACCCAGGTCTCTTTGTACATCAACATTTCCCAATCTGTCACAACTTAACTAATATGCTGCCATTCTGTTTCACGTACCGAGTGGCGAACTTTACAATTATCTATGTTATGTTACATCGGATATCCATTTGCTCATTCACTTAATTTGCCTAAATAGTTTTCAAGCCTCTTTACTTCCTCATCACCACTCACAATCCCATCAAGTTTTGTGTCAACAGCAAACTTGGAACTTTTATATTTAATTTAGCCATCCAGACCACTGATACGTTTTGATTGGCTGGGGCCCTAAGGATAGACCCTTGCGGTACCCCATTTGCCATTCCTTATTCCAAAAAAAAAATCCATTTATTCCTACTCTTTCCTGACTGCTAATCAATTCTCAGCCCTGGAGGAGATGGAAAGCAGATTTAATTGTAATGTGAATTGACAGTCTGATGAAGTGAGTAGATGGCAGGGTGGTCTGGATTTTCTGATGGTTAAATAGTTGTTTCTGCAGCATTGATGTGAGTTACGTCCTGCAGAAATCTCAGTATAGCAGATTCCATGGGGAAAAAAAAACACAAGGAAACCTTCAAAAATATCCATTTAAATTAGAGAATTCAGAACGTTCTGCCACAGTTAAATAATTGCTCAGAAAAAGTTAGACCATTTAAAACCTAGTTCCCCCTCCTGGGTAACTAATAACTAACCCCAATTTCCCACAAAGCCCACCTCCAATTACATTTTCCCAGACCCTGATATTCCCTAAACCTGGATCCAAGCCCCAATACCCAAACTAGACAATGCCTTCTCCACCCACAACCTGATCCTACAATCCCTGTTGATGGACCTGGCAATGACCCTGCCCGTCGAACCCCAACATTCTCACCACTCCATGTCGGACACTGTCTCTGACCCTCTCCCAACCTCATGTCATGGCACCCTACCCTCACTTATTTTGCATACATAACCTTTCACAGCTGGCTGTGTTAGTAAGATTTAAAACACAGACTATGACAATTATCTGTTGTGACAATTTGCTTTCTTTCCACAATCTTGCAATGTAAGGGACTGTCAAATTTAAAGTACAGGTCCACAATTCTGAAGGAGCCCTGAATCTCAAAATGCAGAGTTCTTGAAGTTTAAAGAAAACAGCAGAGTTACAATAATTGATAACAAGGTGTAGAGCTGGATGAACACAGCAGGCCAAGCAGCATCAGAGGAGCAGGAAGGCTGACGTTTCGGACCTAGACCCTTCTTCCGAAATGGGGGAGGGGAAGGAGGTTCTGAAATAAATAGGGAGAGAGGGGAAGGCAGATAGAAGATGGATAGAGGAGAAGATAGGTTGGAGATGAAACAGACAGGTCAGAGAGGCGGGGATGGAGCCAGTAAAAGGTGAGTGTAGGTGGGAAGTTAGGGAGGAGATAGGTCAGTCCAGGGAAGACGGACAGGTCAAGGGGGTGGGATGAGGTTGGTAGGTAGGAGATGGGGGTGGGGCTTGAGGTGGGAGGAGGGGACAAGTTGGGCTGGTTTTGGGATGCGGTAGGGGGAGGGAAGATTTTGAAGCTTGTGAAGTCCACATTGATACATTGGGCTGCAGGGTTCCTAAGCGGAATGAGTTGCTGTTCCTGCAACCTTCGGGTGGCATCGTTGTGGCACTGCAGGAGGCCCAGGATGGACATGTCGTCTGAGGAATGGGAGGGGGAGTTGAAATGGTTCGCGACTGGGAGGTGCAGTTATTTACTGCAAACCGAGCGTAGGTGTTCTGCAAAGCGGTCCCCAAGCCTCCGCTTGGTTTCCCCGATGTAGAGGAGGCGACAACGGGTACAGCGGATGCAGTATACCACATTGGCAGATGTGCAGGTGAACATCTGCTTGATGTGGAAAGTCTTCTTGGGGCCTGGGATAGGGGGGAGGTGTAGGGGCAGGTGTAGCACTTCCTGCATTTGCAGGGCAAAGTGCCGGGTGTGGTGGGGCTGGAGGGATGTGTGGAGCGGACAAGGGAGTCACGAAGAGAGTGGTCCCTCCAGAAAGCAGATAAAAGAGTGGGGAGGGAAAAATGTCTTTGGTGGTGGGGTCAGATTGCAGATGGCAGAAGTGTCGGAGGATGATGCGTTGGATCCGGAGGTTGGTGGGGTGGTACGTGAGGAGGAGGGGGATTCTGTTTTGGTTGTTATTGCGGGGAGGGGGTGTGAGGGATGAGTTGCGGGAAATACGGTCGAGGGCATTCTCGACCACTGAAGGGGGGGGGGGAGGGGGGGCAAAGTTGCGGTCCTTGAAAAACGAGGACATCTGAGATGTAAGGGAGTGGAATGCCTCATCCTGGGAGCAGATGCGGCGAAGACACTGAGAACGCACAACACCATAGACACTGAGGACGCCCCCCGAATGAGCTACAATCATTGTTGCTTCTCAGAAAATCTTCCTCCAGACCTTTTCGTTTCCAACAGAGGTCAGCTGGGAGCATAGATTTAAAAAGTGTTTAGTGGAAGATAGAAGTGGAGAAATATTTGCAGAGCTGGAGCTTACTGCCTGAAAAGGATGGGAGAGGCAGAACACGTCATCATATATTTAAAAGCGTGTATCTGTACTTATTATAGCTTACAGGGTTACAGACCAAGAGTTGGAAGATGGAAGTAGACTGGGTAATATTGTCCAGCATGGACACAATGGACCAGATGGCCTCATCTGTGCCATAAAACTATGTTTCAGATTTGATCATTTCAAATTATAGAGCAAAAGCAGGATTTCAGTCCTACCTATGAAGTACAAACACCAGAGATACAAAAGCACTTTTTCTTTAAGTTGTCATCCCTAGAACAGATTCCTGGTGGAAGTGGTGAATTCTTGAGCAAAGAAGACAACGTAAGGTGACATTTGGCATAGGAGGAGTTAGTTCACATATGAAAAATTCATAGTTACGTGGTGTAATCTTGATTGGAATTGGAATAAAATCCCAAAGGTTTCCTTAAAAATGGTCACTGGCGTTTGGCATTTTCAAAGTGAACACAACTAGCAGTTGGGTGGAGATTTCAGAAATAGGCTCAGCATTTTTAGATGTGACAGCCCCATCTTGCCTTTGTTTCTAAAACAAAAAATCATCCATTCTTGCCCTCAGGTTACAAATTACATCAGAGATCAATCCAGGAAGAACTTCCAAATGATTGTCATCTCATTGAAAGAGGAATTTTATTCAAAAGCCGATGCATTACTTGGAGTATATCCAGAGGTATTGTTCCAAACAGTATTCCAGTTTTAAACTTTCTAATTGTGGCTTGTAAGTACATTTTTGCATGTTCTAATTATATCATTTATCCACATTTACTTTGGGGTTGCAACTGTACACAGGAGATTTTCATCAATCTCCCGACGAAAACAATGGGGAAGTTGTGCACTCAAAGTCGTGTGGCCAAGGACTTACCACATAGTCCAGCCAATGTCATCACAAAAAAAAATGGCATACAGGCTAGTTTCAGATGGTAAGCCATTTCAGTCTGTAAATTAGGGCCTTATTGCCATTTTAGGAGATAACCGCCCAGAGACCCCTCTGAGTTAGTGAGGTGCTTCTGGGTTTCCCAGAACGGATTCTGTTTTGCCACATAAGGCTGTCAACAGTAGTGGTAAAGCCAGGCAGCCAGACAGCATATTCCTCAGTTCAAATCTACCCTCAATATATTTTGGTATGAAAAATAATTTTAATTATACAATACAGCTCTTCAATTTATGCTGTGCAATTGCAACCTATTTCTATAACCTATGTGGATAAGTTTACATTATTAATATTTGATGCATGTTAAATCTCTTAAAATGGAGGTGGGCTTTCAAGGTTGTGTGAATAAAAAGAAGCAAGATGGAGGAGCAACTGGAGATCCCGAGATGGGTATAAAACTTTCTTCCCTGGTTTTGCCATATCTGAACGTTGCTTTTATACCCATGTTACGGGGATAGAGGCACAGGAGAAGAGTCAAAAGCAAAAGGTAGCACATGTTTCTCAGTGACCACTCCTTTGATTTACATTCATGCCTTTGATTGGCAGTTGGTTTCTTTGCCTGGGGTTTACCCTCAAGCCAATTGGCATTTCACATTCTTTTGCCTTTAGGAAGTCTGCTTGATAATGGTCCCAGCTACAGCTGGGTCAATCTCTGTGGCAGCAGGCCACTGCCTTTAAGTGGACTTTAATGGGCCATGTTAGTACATCAGTTAACATTAAATGTGGGAAACTGGCCCTGAATCATCCTACCCAGAACTTAGCTCAGGTGGAGTCATGAAGGTGGCAGAAATCCAGGTACATCACCACCTCACCTAATTAAATGCAATTTCAGTCTGTTACCTCGTCATTCCACAACTTGAATATTCTACCCTAAATTTCAGTGGAACTGATATGCTGGCTTAAGACAAGCCATTCCCAAATGGCGTATGCATCCAAATGGCAAGTTGAAGACAAAACCTATCCTGATATTTATAAAGAATTAAATCTCACTTGGTTTGAACTTGTAGAAAAGGAGCAAATTACCTCCATGTCTTTACAAACCCAGACGGTTCACAAGCTAGCTACATACATTGCCTTAAATATCAGCTCTCTCACCTCTGAACCAAATAGTTCCAACCTTTGTTCACTTATTTCAGAGGACTCAAATGGAAGAAGAGTATTTATTTGTGCCATAAATTTGGTGAGAATTGAGGAGTGTGGGGCTAACAATTACTTTACTGTAGTAGTAGTTATCGAGTGTGCGTGTAAGGAGCTGTTAGGATAATGTCAAAGCAAGATTTAACCAGGACCATAGTATATAGCTCTTAAGACACTCTTTCCATCCCGTATCTAATAATATTCAATAAAATCAGTTAATATTCACTCACCCAAGTACAGACTTTACTACAAAAAGTATGTTTAATCTGTATTTGCACAAATTATCTTCACATCTACACTGCATGAAATTTGTGGAAGATAAATTAGAAAACAAAATACCCTTCTCCTGGTGGCAGTTGGAGTGCCATATGAAAAAGTATACAATTGTCTGTTTTGGCAGAAGGAATAAAAAGAGGCATATCATCTAAATGGTGAGATGTAGAGAACTTTGGGCGTCCTTATGCATGAATCGCAGAAAGTTAGTATGCAGGTATTGCAAGTAATCAGGAAAGCTAACAGAATCTTGTTTATTGTGGGAGAATTTAATGCAAAAGTAGGAGGTTATGCTTCATTATAAAGAGCATTGGTGAGACAGCATCTGGAATAGTGTATGGTACTGGTCAGCTTACTAATGGAACAATGTTAATGCATTGGAAGCAGTTCAGAGAAGGTTTACGAGACTAATACCTGGAATAAGCAGAAATCTTTGAGGTAAAGCTCGACAGGCTCAGCTGTAGCCTCTAGGGTTCAGAAGAGCAAGAGGTGACTTAATCGAAACATAAGATCCCAAAATGACTTGACCAGGTGGGTGTCTAAATGATATTCCCTCTTGCAGGAGGATCTAGAACTAGGGCGTCCAAGTTTAAAAATAAGGGGCACACATTCAAGACAGATAAAAAAAAAATTTCTTTTAAAGGGTTCAGAGTCTTTGGAATTCCTTTACTCAAAGGGCAGTGGATGCAGAGTTTTTAAATCTTTTTAAGGCAGAGTTAGATAGATTCTTGATTACCAAAAAGGATGAAAAGGTTATTGGGGCTGTGCAGGAATGCAGAGTTAAAAGTTAAAAATCAGATCAACTGTGATCTTACTGAATGACGAAGCAGGTCTCAAAGGAGGAAGTGGCCTACTCTTGTTTGTCGTTTGTATACTGGTAAAGTTACCAAACATGGAAAAATGAAACGGTTCATGGAAAGTGGTGTTATGGGGACTGCCATCCCCATCAATACATTTAACATCTATACATTCATGTTAGTAAATATTCAGAAGTTTAAAATTAGACACTCCTCAATATCAATCTTTCCTCATTTTGCAAAGTGGTGAAGACAAAATAAATAAGCATTTTTAAAAACTTTGACATCTGCTAACTTTTGTAGTTTTTGTTATAGCAAGGAGAATACATGTCCAGCCAACTGTTAACCTTCGACCTTACCAGTTACCCAGAAAATACTAGAAGGGAAGAGACACTGCAGCCAAGGCAGGAAGAGTAATAGACCAGAGTTTGGTTCTGTGTAAATACTTCAAAACACTACTGTCTCATCTGAATTGTTGTTAACCACTTACGTTTTACGTGTTATCTAAGAATCACCACAGTGTCTCTTTGTTAGCAAGTCTGTTAACATGCATTTGAAAACTTATTTCCATTCTGTCAAACAAAAAAATCTGTTCTGCGGAAAAATCATTCATAAAGCCCTAGGTTTTTTTTTAGTTGACTAACCAAAAAAATTAAGTTGGAATTCAAGAAACAAAATGCCATTTATTGATCATACTTTTCCATAAAACCAACAATTGCTACCATTAAAGCCCTGTCTAATTGAGTATATAAATTTGTAAAACTGAAAGGAAACTTCAAATGGTCAATTTTAGAGCAAGCTTGCATGCAAATCTTCAGATGCACCTTTTTAGGGTTTGTTTAAAAACAAAAGATTTGCAATTGCTAACAGAACAACTATAATTATTGTTATACTGCTGGCTGTCTCAGTAACAATGACATTGTGAAGAAGCAAAATCATGAATCATATCGGATGCTCAGGAATCACATTTGATTTTGAAAATTTAAGTTAGCGAATTTGAATGTACCATAATTAAAAACATAATGGGGACAATAAAAAAGTTTCCAAGATGTATAACATACCTGTATTAGGTACTTCACATTGCAATCTTCAAGATATGGAAAAGGAAGAGGACAGATTTACTCAAACATAAAACAAAACACATTGCCAATAGTTTCTTTGTAGATTTTCATTCCTCGTGAAAGATTACCATTTGTGTATTCTCCATACACTAGGAGATAAAAAATCTTACAAATCTGTACACAGTGTCCAATGCTATACTGGCCAAGTATGCATCAAAATCTAGGCATCTCAGTCAACACCTGGAATTCCCAATAGAGTCCAAAGGTGCTAAGGTATCAGAACAGTGCCTAGTTACAAAAGCAGGCCTAAGCTGACAGATCAAGTTTTAAACACTTCATCTATGGCATTGCAATGCACACATGGTAATTTTGCAGAAGGTGAACTAAAGAAAGCAGTTTCTGTTGAATAAATTGTTTTTATATTGATTGCATTTTATATACTTGCAGAATGCTTTTTGTTTTGCACAAATGTTAATCATGTTATTGTTTCTAGTTATTACTTGTTAAAACTAATTGTTAATACAGTGAAGAAAACTGGTTGAGAAGCATGGGCCTCATTTATCACATATACTGGAGAGGGGAGAGTACCCAAGAGTATATATAAACCAGAGACCAGGAGTTTCAGTGAAAATCAGTAGTGGAAGTAACAAAGTTGAAAATGTTAAAAGGAAGCAGGAGGGAGAGAAGTACAATGAAGAGTGAGCAAAAAACCAGCAAATATTCAGGTGGATAGAGGAGAAGTAGGAATGTGGACAGGTGAAGAGGTTGCTAGAAGCATAAAAATGAAATGGGTTGTGGAGGCTGAAGAAAACATTAAAAAGAAATTAATGTTGAAGGTGTTAAGAAAATAGTTGTCAGGATATAATGGGATAGAAGAGAGGAAAAGAAGATTATTGATATAACATGGAAACATAGAAAATAGCAGTAGAAGAACATTCAACCCCTCAACCTGCTCAGTCATTCATACAATAATGATTTACCATTCAGCACCCTAATCCCATTTTCCCCCATATCGCGTGATCCCTTTAGCCACAAGACTTATATTTACCCCCTTCTTAAAAACAGATGTTTTAGGCCTCAACCACTTTCTTTGGAAGTGAATTGCACAGGCTTATGACTCTCTGGTAAAGAAATTTCTCCTCATCTCAGTCCTAAAGGCCTTAAACTTTATCCTTAAACTATTAGCCCTGGATTTGGACTCCTTCACCATAAGGAACATCCTTCCGACATGTAATTGTCTACTCCTATTAGAATTTTATAGGTTTCTATGAGATCTCTCCTCATGCTTCTGAACTCCAGTGAATCCTAATCAGTTCAGTCTCTCCTCATAACTCAATGCTGCCATCTCAGGAGTCAATTTGATATCCTTTACTAAACTCCCTCCAGAGGAAAAACATTCTTCCTCAGATAAAAAGGCCAAAACTGCACGCAGTATTCCTTGTAAAAGGGTGATAACAGGAAATAGGCAATAAGAAGCAGTTAACACACAGCAAAAGGTGACAATAGAAAGTGTAAAAAGCCAGCACCAGGCAGAGCTGTGAAATGGGGATATTAGGGCAGGCAAAGTAGCAAAAAAAAATTAGCACTGTTTACATACAAGTGTGATCTATTAAAAATATGCCAATTTCAAAATAAACGGCCAGAAGTGTTAACAGTTCAGATTAACTACTCATTTAAACATGTGTGGGTTATAGTTAGTTTTACTAATGCAGTGTTTCATTGTCAAAGATAAATAATTTTTTGAAAATATTGAAAAAGATATTATTGCTTGATATTTTACTTTTGTCAAAATAAACATTGAAAAATCAGTTATTCATTTAGTCACTTCATTTATACTAACAAGAAAAGGCAAAGGGACAAATGTAGGGTAATAGTATCATGTTTATAAAAGTAAAATCTGTGTCATATTTGACATATTTGCCTTACTCTTACATAACTTCCATTTGATTGAACCATCTGTTGAACTAGTTTCTCTACGCTGGTTTTCCTTGGGAACATGAACACCTACGTTCAGTGAATTCTTCAATTCTTGCTTCAAGGCTTATGGAGGGGTTCACAAGAGTGTGGAGTTCAGGCCTCGATCCGATCAGCCATGCTTTTACTGAATGACAAAGACTCAAGGGGCCTAATGGCCTACTCCTGCTCAGATTTGTGTTCTCACTGCAGTGCAGTTAACCTGACTATCACTATCAACAAAACATTTCATCAAACCATTTCTATAATTATAAAAGTGCAAGATTGATAAGATTTACATACATAAACTTTTGCATCGAATAAATGGCTACACGTTTTACCTGTATTCACCGTCACAGGATTCTTCATCAGAATGCTTCACAATATTAGTTTAAGTGACAACTCTTTCCAAGTTTTCATTTTTCCAAAAACCAAAAAAAAGTGTAGTTCTTAAGTTAAATAAATGCTAAATTATTTGTGGTTAATTGAGAAATCTGCAGGTTCATTCAAGTTCATCCCAATTCAGAACTGCTTAAATATTTTTCACCACTTCTTCTTTCTTGTATATAAATTAAATCTTGAATAAAAGATCTTGATTATGATTGAACAGTACTCTTAAGATTACTGCAAAGTCTAAATTTTGTTGAAAAGCACTAACCTTTAGTCAAAATGTCCCATTTTGTCAATCTAACAGTGCTGTCAAAATATAACACAAGCTGTAAAAGAATTCACAAGACAATTTTTTTTCTAAAAGATATACAATTAGCAAAGGGAAGTCTTACTGCTTTGACATTTCATAAGATCGTAGCTGATCTTTTTAAAAAAAAATTTAAAAGCACAAAGCATCACAATTAGAATGGAAAATATAGATCTCCCATTAGAAATTACAGTGGTTTTAAGTGCATTACAGATATATTGAAACAAAATGAATAATTTTCTAATGTTAAGTAGCATTCTGATGTTTTATTTTAGAAAGTTTCCAATAATCTTTTCAGTGTTTTCAGCTATTGGTACGGATGAGATTACAGTTAGTAAGTATAAAATAACTCTGTACTTTGTGATTCATGAGCTGTGAATTCTAATATTGTGTTGTGTTAATTATACATTGCCAATTGCTTTACATGGATTTTGGGAATACAAACAATTTTGGTCATCTCTGACTCAACATTTGATGGTGAAGCAATATATGGGAATCTCAATGTGACCGACAGCATTAAATAGATTGAATTGACAATGTTTTAATTTATTCACTCGTGGGACTTGGGTGTCGCTGACTAGCCAGCATTTATTGCTCATCCCCAGCTGTACTTGAGAAAATGATAGTGAGCTGCCATCTTGAACTGCTGCAGTCCAAATCCTGTAGGTTGACCCAACCTATGCCCTTAGGAAGGGATTTCCAGGATTTTGACCCAGCATCAGTGAAGGAACAGTATTATATATTTCCAAGTCAGGATGGTAAGTAGCTTGGAAGGGAATTTGCAGGTGGTGGTGTTCCCATGTATCTGCTGCCCTTGTTCTTTTAGATGGAAGTGGTTACGGGTTTGGAAGGAACTAAAGATCTTGGCAGTGCATCTTGTAAACACGACACATTGCTGCTACTATGCATTGATGGAGGAGAGTGAATGCTTGTGGTTTTGCCACCAATCTGCTTTATCCTGAATGTGTCAAGCTTCTTCAGTATTGTTGGAGCTGCACTCATCCAGGCAAGTTGGGAGTGTTCCATCACACTCCTAACTTGTGCCTTGCAGATGTTGAACAGGCTTTGGGGAGTCAGGAAGTGAGTTGCATGCCGTAGTAGTCCTCGTTTCTGACCTGCTGTTGCAGACACTGTTTATGTGGTGAGTACAGTTGAGTTTCTGGTCAGTGGTAACCCCCAGGATGTTGATTATGGGAGATCCAGTAACGACAACACCATTGAATGTCAAGGGACAGTAGGTAGACTGTCTCTTATTGGAGATGGTAATTGCCTAGCATTATTGTGCTGCCAATCTTACATGCCAGTTGTCAGCCCAAGCCTGGCTATTGTCCAGATCTTGTTGCATTTGAACATGGTCTGCTTCAGTACCTAAGGAGTTGCAAATGATGCTGACTATTGCAGTCTTTCGTGAACATCCCCACTTCTGACCTTATGATGGAGGGCAGGTAATTGAAGAAGCAGCTGGACATGGTTGGGCCTAGAACGTTACCTTGAGAATCTCCTGCAGACATGTCAAAATTTGGACTGTGGTTTTGATCATGGTGAGCAAATCTTCTTTGTAAATAGGGCAACAAACATAGCAGCAGGCAATGCAGTCAACACAAACAGTGATCATCTTAAAGCAGCTGCGCACCACTAACCCACAACAACCTCAAAACAGCTTTGCGGAAGTGGAAGGTGGCTGCTACCGAAAGGTGACTGTAGGCTGCTGGCAATCAAACAAAAATTTAATACCTACCATCTGCAGATTGCAGGTATAGTACAGTGAACAAATAGGACAAAGAGAGCTAGCTAAAACTAAAGCCCTAGAGAAAGGGCAGGGATGTGTTGCTTAAGAAACTAATTGAAATCAGGACAGCACCCAATAGAGCAACAGGGATAACTCCATGAATTAATGACAGTGCAATGAAATTGGAAGGGCAAGTTGTGTTGGGTACCAAGGAAGTAGTATCCATGAGAGAATATTAAATTACTTGTGAAAGAGCTCTGCAAGCAGTGCATGATCTGAGATGGAAGTTATGAATCAAAAATTCATACTTGATATGGAACAAGGTGTCAAGTATAGGAAATAGGTCAAGTCCAGGACTGGAAAATGGGCTAGTGTTGGTAAAGGATTATAAAATTTTATGATAATGTACACCATGAGCTAGTGCACATGGCATGTTCAAACATCTCCAAAATTGATTTGCCAGAGTGGTGTTCAGTTCAAGCCAGAGGCATTGGATATAGCATTTGTAAAATAAGTGATGACACAGTTTGATTTAATGGTGGAGAACAGCCAGTGGGTGCACCCCTAAAAGACTGTCTAGTCAATGATGTTACTACACCATTTAACATAGAGACTTCAGTAGTAAATTTGATTCACTTGGTAACAGTGGATCTAAAGTTGAGAATTTAAGATAAGAAAAGGACAAGGCATCTGTAACAGACATCTCAGTACAGACTGATTCTGAGCTTGACTACTATACTAGAGAGTCCTGCATGGACTAATAAGGAGTTTATGTACAGAAAAATCTCTCAAACGATGGTCAGGAATGATTTCTGCAGCACCTGTGGATTGTAGATGCTTGAGCAGACTAGTGAAAACTGGAGACGAATTCATCAGGGTGAAGTACTCTTGTGGATAACAAATGTGCACTGTTTAACCCATCATGGAACTGGGAACATGACCTGATGAACTGCCAGCTAGGGGTTTAACGTGTGTGTAAAAATTAATGCTGAACGTGTTATAAATATTATGTTAATCAGCATTGTTTTGGCAATCCGTTATACCAGTGTCCTCCCCCCATCAAGACACTATCTAAAATAAGAGGCTAACTAGGGTAGATTATGTAAGGTATAATATACCACTGTATACAGTGGAGATACAAGGTAATATAGTAATCACCACTTTTGATAGATACGGTGTAGAAGCTTCTTTGGTGTCCACATCTGAAATGACACAGAAGCAGCAAGGTATGGGTTTAATGCAACAGCCAACTGTACAATAAGCTATATCTGGCTACAGAAGAATATTCACATTACCGCATCACAAACAAATATGTCCAACCATGTGGGTGCTTCTGTAACTACAGGTGCTAACTCAGGTGGGAAAGCTAGAACTGGTGGAAATTTACAGAAGAGAAACAGTGAATGTACAGGTAAAGAAAGACATCAAGGGAAACCTGACAGTATCTCAACCAGTTCTCCTATATAATGTCACTGTTGCCCAAATACCTTAAAAGTTATTTGGGACAAGGCCCAGTGATACATTGAATGACACATTCCAATAAGAAGCCAGGGCATTAGCAGACAATGTCAGACAAATAGATACCACTTGGTGAGAGAACCTGTGTAATTTGGGATTGAATATATAGATATATCCATGGATTAAAATCATCTCTAACGTTCTGGTTATCATCCAGTTAGTACTGGTTCTGTACTTAACCTACGTGGTTCACTGCAGCAAAAGGACACACGAGATGGCAAGGTGTATGGGATTTGGAGAATTCAGGCCCAGTACGCAGGTGAAAAGCTTGTATTGTTGGGTCAACCTATACAAAAAGTATAATGTAGTACCTTTACAACCATAAGCTCGATACCTGGCGCTTTGATGGACACCAGAACGCATGGAAAATGACATGACCACTAAATTGAAGGAGTTGAATCAGTTTTAGTTAGTTAGGCGTAAAGTTTTCAGTCAGAAATGTTTTCAGTAACAACAAATAGTGTAGAACTGAAGAACCACAGATGTCCAGAAACAGGATAAAGGATAGGGCACATACAATCAGTCAAGATAAAGACGACCTTGGATTCAATACAAACAGCGCCTGTTACATGTAACACTGGAATATCTGGTAAATCAATGGCATGATTTGATTAGTTGTATAATTTAATGTAGGAAAGGTAGCGGCTAACATAGCAAATGTGAATGATCAGATAATCTGGTTTTGTGATTCTGTTGAGAATAAACACTAACTAGGACACCAGAGATCGCTCCTCTCTATCCAAAATAGTTACATCAGATCCTTAACATCTATCCGAGCCAGCCGTTGGCCCCTTGGTCCTTAATTTCTCATCCAAAAGACTGCACTATTGATACTGCAGTATTGTCTCCATTAGGTCTGCTTTGGAGTGGTTTGATTTTTACACTTGACGCCTGGAGTGGGACTTGAACTTTGAATGTATCGTGAAAAACATCCTGCAAATTACTCTCCCCAAAAGATAAATACTTAGACTACATCTATTTGCATTTAAAAATCTTCTGCATTAAAAAGACAATAGACCATACTAAGGGCCTGGTATTTTTCAATCTTTTATGCACAGTTTACAAGCTCATACATTTATACTCTGGTGAGCAGAGCAGAATAGTATGCCAGATTTCTTTATCATATTCATTCCCTTCTGCAATCAACCAGAATATACAATTCAATAGGGCAAGCTGCCTTCCTCCCACCTACTGATTCAGCTGCGAAATGCTAATTTTCCCTCAGTTATTACATAACACATTGAACAGATGATTTTCAGTGAACAAAACATCCAATATTCATACATTTAAAATAGTTATTTTAGTGGAAACATAAATTTCAAACAAATGTGTTCTATATCTGGATGTTTTCTCACCAAGTCACACTTGATAAAAGAGCAGCAATGTCCAGACTTTTCTCCCCCGAGGTACCACAATAAATAGTTAAGTCCATGAAGGCAAGAGAGCCACTGATTTGCATTTAATGGTTGTAACAACTGCTCAATAGTTACAAAGTACTGTTCTTATTCTACGGTGGTACCCATCAACTTGTGCTGATACGAATAAAGTTTTCAGTCCCATTTTGATGCATCCAACATCATGGATTGGGATATGGCACGTTGGTGAAGGTGCTTTATTGGGACAATTTATGATCCTCCAAAATCTGTATCTGCAACGAAATTTAATTTTGCACATTTATTCCTTCATTCTGAAACTTTTGTTGAAGCTTCCTGTTCTTCTATATAAATTATATCCTCTATATAAAGGGGAGGCGATGGCCTCGTGGTATTATTGGTGGACTATTAATCTAGACCAGATAATGTTTTGGGGACTCAGGTGTGAATCTCACCATGGCAGACGGTGGAATTTGAATTCAATAAATATCCGGAATGAAGAACCGAATGATGACCATGAATCCATTGTCGATTGTCAGAAAAACCCATCTGGTTCACTAATGTCCTTTAGGAAAGGAAACTCATCCTTACCTGGTCTGGCCTACATGTGACTCCAGACCCACAATGTGGTTGACTCTGAACTGCCTCTGGGCAACTTGGAATGGGCAATAAATGCTGCCTAGCCGGCGACGCCCTCATCCCGTGAATGAATAAAGAAAATAAAAAATTGTTGTTTGGTAGTACAAAACTTCAGTACCTTTGCAAAAAGACATTTGTCAAAGCTTTATGTCTTGCACTCAGGACAATTTGAAAGGGGGAAAAACAACATTAACACTGCATCAGGGGACAGTGTCAATTGATTGACAAATGGCTGGTAGAGATGTCACAATGGAAATACAAAAATGAATGACGATTGGCAGTGAGATGCAAGGTCCTGACATCACCAAGCTATCTATTGAATCACAGAAAATTTAGTCAAATAAATCAAAATCCAGCCGCTCATTCTTGTTAGAAATCAACATTTTAAATCAATGTCAAATAGAAGGAAAATTTAACTTCAAAACTAAAATTTTAGACAGATTTAACAGGGACAAATAAATAATGAAGGTTTCCGAAGCATCTATTTGTCATGAAATGTTATTTTCTTTTTCATTTGGTTTTTAAGAAGAGTAAACAAAACAGGTGCTTCAATTGTATAAATGCTGGCTTTTTTAATTCGCTCACGGATGTGGGTGTCACTAGTTAGGCTAGCATTTATGTACCATCCTTAATGGCCCAGAGGGCAATTGAGAGTCAACAACATTGCTGATACAATATGGAAGGAAGAAAATACAATATCCATGATGAGAAAGGTGATGCATTAATTTAAAGATCATCGGTGAAGCATTAACATACATCTCTACCACAGAAAATAAGGGAAATTTACTTCTGTGGATTCTCAAACAGGAGTCGTTGATTTCAGGTGCATTGCACATATTAATTACAATACACCCTTCTCCAGCTGGCCAAAAATGACAGTGTGAACATGTTGAACATGAATAACTATTAATTTATAAACAAGAAAAATGATATCCATGCTGTTCTATCTAGTCTCTTGGAATATTTGCTTTTATCAAAATTTTACTCATTTGTTCTGCACCCAGTTTCAGAAATAGCCTGCAGTAAATGGGTTCAGAGCTTAGTGAGGCTCAAGTAACAAAAGGGTTTTAAAACGTCTTTCTTCTAAATGTACCATTTGCTTTTCGGATCCTTTTTTGAGTTACATCACCATTTTCTTCTTGTTTCCGCTTTACACAATCCGAACAAGATGTTCCTGCAACAAATCAAGGTACATACACATTAAGGAACCATTCTTCAATTATCCCAGGAAAACATCAATACAAACAAGTTTAGGTCATTGATGACCATGCTGGAATTTTAAAAGTGCATGAATAAAGCTAAATTTCTCTTCCCTCTCCTCATATAATCCAGCACATTACAGATAATATCCATGGTTCATACAAATCCTAATGACTAAAGTCAAAGGGAAAGAGACTCAAAGATCAGTGACTGCACTTGAAGGAAAATTACTAAACTCATGATTCTTTTACCTCTCCCAAAATAAATTTTTAATGCCCAATTCAGGTTCTTTGTGACAGAGCACGTATTTTTCATGCATAGTTCCCTTTTCCTAGGATGTTTATCAGCATCCCGATTGCGCAAATCTTGTTCCAAATAACCATATACAAGGCAGAACAATACATTTTAGGAGAGGCAAAAGTACCACAAGCCTCCTTGTGGTACCACGAGCACCATACTGAGTGCAGCAAGTCTTCCCATCCCTGTCAGTTTTGTAACAATGCTTATGTTTGTCTGATCAAAGGTTCTCTAAGCAGGAATGCCATTTCTTTACCAGCAAAAAAAAAAAGCCTTCAGAGCTGCCTTGCGTATTTCAAAATCTGTCTAACCAATAAGAGGACAATGTCAAAAGTTACTGGTAAAGAACTACCTCAACCACATTCAACATATGCAATCATAATAAACGCAAAGAAGATGCTTGCATTAGGGAACCAAACAATAGTAATTATCTCTCCAAAAGTACTACATGATTCACTGGAAGTTACATTGAATACCCAGTTCTTCTCTCTGCTCCCCGCTCCCCACCCCCAATCAAGGCTTCAGTTTTATCTATCTACCTGTTTCAAGACTTTAAACAAAGAAATATTCAGATTTTGTCACACACAAATGTGATATATTTTTACATGAATAAAAATAATAATCAACTAGATTATATGGAAAATTAGTAATATTAGACTATATCTTGAATTTTGATTCCCCATTCATTTTCATCAATCTCATCACCCTTTGTGTTCCCAACGTTCAAACCGTAGTCTTGTACTGCATACAACTTAACATATGTCTTCAAAAATCAATATTGCTATAGAGGGGGAATCCTGTAAACTTCTCCCTCATTGGAACAAATTGTAAATATATTTCCACATAGATCCTTAAGACCATGAAACATAGTCATAGAAGTAAGCCATTCAGCCCATTGGATCTGCTCAGCCATTCAGTGAGATCATAGCTGATTTGATAATCCTCAACTACACTTTTCTGCCATTGCCATAGTCCTCAAATTCTTTACCATTTAAAAACGTGCGTCTTCCTCAGCCTTGAATATATTTAATGACCCAGTCTCAATATCTCCCTGTGGTAAAAATTCCGTAGATTTACAACCTTAAGAAGAAATTCTTCCTCATCGGTCTTAAATCCATGACCACTTAAGATTATGCCCATTAGTCCTAGACTCTCCCACAATGGGAGATGACCTTTCCACTTCTACCCTTTCAAGTCCTTTAGGAATCTTGTATGTTTTAAGAAGGTCACCTCTCATTCTTCTATGTTCCAACCTGTATAGGCTCAACCTACTCAATTTGCCTACCTTCAAGACGACATCATAATCTCTCTCAAAATCTGCTATTAAGCACATACTTTATCAGGACCTTAATACTGAAAGCTTCTTTATTCGAACTTCAGTCATTCAAATTATCATAAATTAGTATTCTTAGTACGATTAAAATCAATTTCATTGACAGGAAATGAACAAACATACTATTGCAAATAACAATTGAAATAAAAGACTTTAAATCTTCATTACATACACTAATTAACAAGAATTATTACAAATTATATTCTGCTTGGAGTAACATTTTTTCCCTTTATATAATCCCCTTTACATCAAGTTCCACATTTCACTGAGAAGACCTGTCCTCCCACAATTTTAATTGCATAGCTGATCTGTACATGTAATGCAATTTAATCACACAGGAATTTGAGATATCTCATTACCTCAGTACATTAACAATGCAGTTACTTTCAGATAATAAGGGTTGCAAGGAAATGTGGACTAATACTACTGCATTTTACCTTACCTAATATTGGACTTGTACTATCTGCAGAAGAACCATCTGGGAAAAAAAGCAATGTCAATTAACAAATAAACCAGTTATGATTCAGGCATATGAAGCAATTTATTTAATATTCAAGGGACCACAGGACAGATTAAATATTTAGTAGTATTGTTTGAACTATGGGGATAGTGCATCAGATTATTTACTTAGAAAACTGATTTACCACAAGTTGAAAGACAGATGATGCTCTGTGTTTCATCCTGATCAGCCAGTATTGATAAAAGTAATCCTTAGCATCACAAATTTCTATTTGGTCAGCCCTTATGATATCACAAAATAAGAATAAACTGTACAATTTGCTTTCGCAATGTTCATTAAAAATATTTCTGGAAGGCCAAAATTTTAATTTTGAAGTTGAACTAATTTTTTAAAAATATTAATACTTGTACTGATGAATAAATTGCACCCTCATCACATTAACTAAGCAAGCTAATATTCCAACTTAATAGCAATGGTTAGGTAAATACTGAACCTACAATTCAAACAGAAAATGCATGGAAAATAGACAAGTCTATTTTAAGTCTAAGGAGACAGCAGGTAGCTCAATGCTACAAGATGGGTCCTTCTTCAAATTTGGGAAACAGTTCTTGAATGCTAAATATATTGATACATTTTCTCCAATTATAATAATGCAGTTTTGTTTTTGTTTAAAACTATGCATTACCATTATTTTAGTTCATGTTAGATTAGAAGCAAAGCTATAACCTTGTGCCATCCTTTTGATCAGATGCCAAGAGCTAAGCATTTGTCTAGTGCAAGATGTAAATTTTTTCTGAATCTCAGGTAACAACATAAAATATAATACAAGAAGGCTGCTGCATAATTTCAGTACTTTTTAAATTATATTAATGCCTACACTCAGAATACCTAACAATTCATCAAGGAGTATGGTTAAAATGGTTGTTACTAAAGTATAAGTAATCCAATGTCCTAAATTAACGGCCAGAAATATGCGTTCAAATCTCAATACAGCTGGAGAATTTAAGTTATTTAAATCAAACTGGAGTGAAAAGTAATATTAGTAATAGTGAGCATGAAACTCAGTTTGTAATAAAAACCCAGGCAATTCACAGATGTCCTTTAGGGGAGCATCTTAAGTAACCTCATCTGGTTTGACTCAGGTGGGTCTAGACCACAGCATGGTGGCAGCCTCTGAAATGGCCAAGCATGCCGCTGAGTTGTATTCACAAAGTAAAAGCAGCTCACATCTTTTCAAAGGGAAATCAGCTTTAGTTTTACCAGTAATACACTCATCCAGCAAACAAAAGAGAATGGCTTAAGCACAATAGCCTTTATTTTCTGTTGCAAACTGTTCATTTAAAGAGCCAATTTACAGAAAATCCAGCTATTGTGTTAACCAAATTTAAAACAAGATAACCACTGGATTATATGGAGACATGCAGTATGTAAACAGAGTCTTCGGTCCAACTAGTCCTTGCCAGCCATAATCCTGAACTAAACTTGTCCCACCTGCTCGTGCTTGGACCATATCCCTCCAAACATTCCTTATTCATGTTCTTATCTAAATGTCTTTTAAACATAATTGTACTGGCATCCACCATTTCCTTAAAAATATGCTCCCTAGTCTTGAAATCCCCCACTCTCGTGAAAAGGCACCTGCCACTCACCTATCTGTACCCTTCATGATATTATAAACCTCTCTAAGGTCACCTCTCAACTTCCTAGACTCCAGTGGAAAAAGTTCCAGCCTCTCCTTATAACTCAAATCTTCCACTCCTAGCAACATCTTGATAAATCTCTTCTGAACCCTCTCCGGCTTAATAATATTCCCCAAAAACAGGGCAACCAAAACTGTGCTCTAGAAGAGGCCTCACCAATCTCTTGTACAAACTCAACACACAAAATCCTATACTCAAATGTCCGAGCAATGAAGGCAAGCGTCCCAAATGCCTTCTTAACCACCATGTCTATATGTGATGCAAACTTCAAAAGAATTATGTACCTGAACCCCTAGGTCTCTGTTCTACAACACTACCCAACCATAACATTATACACAATACAAAGAAATCCATCTGGCTCACTAATGTATTTTAGTAAAGGAAACCTGCCCAATCCTTACCCAATCTAGTCTACACGCAAGTCCAGGCTTCTAGACCCTTTCAAGTGACCAAGCAAGCCATTTAATTAAATACAAGTACTATAAAGAAGTCCAATGAGAGTAAAATCACATGAGCCACATAGTATCAACCAAAGGCACCAGAAATGACAAAAGTACAGTCAGCAGGGTCAACTCTGCAAAGTTCTCACTAACATTTGAGCATGTTTCAAAATTGAAAGAATTGTCTCAAACAACAGACAGTCTGCCACAGAATCATACTTTTCAACCAACGCCCTGGACTTCACCACGACAACCCTCAAAGCACAGTATTGTTTTGGTTTGATTGTTAAAACAGAAGTCGTAAAATCAATACAAGCCAAACATGAATTAACAAAATTAGTCTCTCCCTTACTATAATATATGTATGTATAAATTAAAAATTACATGTTAAATAGTGGTTACAATGATAGATCTCACTGATTTGCTGGTCAATCTGCATAGTATGAGACACCCAAAGTACTTCAAAGATCTAAACTTCCTTAAATGGATTTCCAGCTTTTCTTTCAAAGATTTAGCTATCAATTCTCACCGAAAGCAGCTTCTAATCAAACAAATTTCTATGGGTGCACACTTCATCAAAATGGCTCTCTCGCCAGATTCTCTGGACCCTCTAACTCTGCTCATGATAGTCCTGATGGTGTTATTCACTAGAAATACCTTTCTCTAAACCCTCAGTGACAACCCTTCACACTGTATGGTAACATCTGCCCAGTTAATTACTTGAAGTAACAAAAAAATAGCACAGCAACCCTGATGTTTATCTGTCATCCAGCTCTTGGATTCACTCTTTGTCATCTTCAGCATGTCATCTTAATCCCATGTGTACTACACTGCTATAGAAATGAGATAATAGTGATAGTGTCTTTTATCCCCCAACTTCAGTTTTTTCAAACATATCAAGTTTCAGTTTTAGTTCCTCTAGAAACCTGAAGATTGAGTTTTCCTCTCAGTTAAGGTATAATTCAAAATAAATACAAGCTTTGTACTACTTAAATACTGCTACTGAACATGGATGACCTTGTCTTGTTGTTATCAAACAGCATATCCCTTCAACTGCTTGCAAGCAAGGTACTGACTGTACCCAACTGTATTTGCAAAATTCACAACAACGTTCAACAATAGATGCAATTCTGCAATTAGACAATGCTCGATGGGTAATTCCAATGTCACAAATTACAATGACAACCAATTTAGGACTGTCAGTCAGGCTGGCAGAATGGTGCATTTGCATGTACTGGATGCTACACATATTATTACAAATGGCCCTGTTGTTAAGCAGGCAGAAAGGATATGTACATACACTGCACCCCACTCAACTCATCAAAATAATGACAGCCACTTGTTTGCTGGTTCATTTTTTAGGGCACCGTCTTGAACAGAATCAACCACAAAAACAGAAGTTGCTGGAAAAGCTCAGCAGGTCCGGCAGTGTCTGTGAAGAAAAAAAGTCAGAGTTAACTTTTAGGGTCCAGTGACCCTTCCTCAGAATCAACTTACCTGGTTTTAAGGTTTAAACAAAGCCTGACTATTTACTGTCATTCACTGGCGAATTCCCCATGGCAAATCGTCTAACAATCAGAATCTACTTGACACCCAATCACCCCCTTCTCTTACACAGTAAGAATGTTTTACTTCCTGTTAATATCAGAAACAGGAGCAGGAGTAGGCCATTTGGCCCTTTGAACATGCTCTGCCATTCAATATCATAGTTGATCGTCCCACTTGGTACCCTGTACTTGCTTTCTTCCCATATTTTTTGATCTCTTTAACCTCCAGAACTGATTCCTTTTTGAAAATGTTCAATGTTGTAGCCTCAACAACTTTCTGTGGCAGAGAATTCCACATGTTCACCATTGCTGGGTGACAAAATTTCTGCTCATCTCAGTCCTGAATGACCTACACCTATCCTTCAACTCCCTTGGTCTCCCTTCTACGAGATGTGTCCCGATTCTTCTAAATTCCAGTGATCATAGTCCTAACAGATCCAGTTTCTCGACATACACTAGTCCTGCCATCCTAGGAATCAGTTTGGTAAACCTTTGTTGTGATCCCTCCACAGCCAGAACATCCTTCCTCAAATAAGGAGACCAAAACTATACACAATACTCCAGGTGTGATCTTACCAGGGCCCTGTACAATTGCAGCAAGACATCCCTGCACCTGTACTCTAATTCTGTCACTATGAAGCCAAAATACCATTTGTCTTCTTGACCAGCCTCTGCATCTGCTTGCTTACTTTCAGTGTTATGGACCAGACCAAACTCTCTCAAACTATATTAAGATAGCCTAGACCCTAAACTTTTTCTTATTTTAAAGGCAAGTGCCAGGTGTTGTGTTCCAGATGCAATTCAATTGGTCAAACAACCAGTCTTGAAGTAAAATACACTTTATTCATACACCATAGTTAAAACACAGCAAAAGAAAGAATTGGAATGACTTAACTCTATTGGAAAGCTGAAGAGAATAATAGATTATTTAATTACTAAACACTAACTCTTCCAGTATAGTAACATCCCATAAACACACCATTGGGAAAGGCAAATTCAGTAAAATAGATTGTTTGACATTCAATTCTAGAAACAGGAAGAGAACCCCCAGCTTTTACTGTAACAGAAATGAAAAAACAGCTTCCACATCAGCTTCAAGGCCCCCACAGCAACTGCTACTGAAAAACAAACTAAAAATCCTGGTTCTATGGGAGCTTGACTCCACCCATTCAGGCTGCTTCTATTGTTCCGACTTTAGAGAAAATCCCCCAAGGCCTCACAAGCTGTTTACTTTATAGGCTTTGAAGCAGACTGCTCAGTGCCTCTCTCAACCTTTCTTCATGAAAAAAATCCAGGACCAAATATACCTCTTAAAGCAACAGTATTGTCACATCAGGGACGTATACAATGATGCCCAGGTCTCATTGTACCTCCCCTTTCCCAGTCTATGACAATTAGATTATAAACTACCTTTATTTTTCCTATCTCCCATTTATCCACGTTATATTTCATCTGATATGCATTTGCCAACTCAAATAAACTTGTTTAAATCATAACTGATGCTTTTCTGCATCGTCCTCACAGTTCACTCTCCCAGCCAGCTTTATGTCATCTGCAAACTTGGAGATATTATACTTCACAGAATCCCCAGTGTGGAAGCAGATCATTTAGCCCATCGAGTCCATACTGACACTCTGAAGAGCAGCTCACCTAGACCCACCCCCATCCTAAGTCTGTAATCCTACATTTCCCATGGCTAATCCATCTAGCCTGCACACCACTGGCAATGCAGCATGGCTAATCCACCCTCATCTAAATACAGC